GCAGTGGCAAGACAGGAAAGGTCTGTCTCACCATATGGGTTTCTCCCGGGCTGGCCGGGGATCGAACTCATGCTGCAGAGGCTGTGGATTGCTTCATAGTGTGGTGCTTAACCCCTTGCGCCACCAGGGAGGCCCCAAACATACACCTATTTTCAATTCCACAGTATTCTCGGGAGTCAGCTTAGTCAAGTCCTGGCCTACACATGTCTAATTTACATGCTTTCCCCTTCTTAGGCCCTGGGATAGATTTTGGACCGCTCCAAAAATTGAAAATCCGAAGGAGCCTTTCTGAAAGGGCTCTCAGTGCAGCCAACCACTTGATAATGGGACGACAAGCAAGACTTGTTTCCCCAGAGGCTCACCCTGGCTATCATCTGGGGCTCAGTCACCAGAGGCTGCAAATGGGTAGTTTTAGATCTGTGGAGGAAAGGCATTCCAGGAAGGAGCACAGTCCAGGCAAAGGCAGGCTTCTGAAAAAACCCCAAAGGACCTTGTGATCCAAGTCTCTTTGGGTACTGATAAGAAACTAAGGCCCCCAAGGGGGAAGGAAGGTTGGGCTCCCAGGTTCACATCCAGTGCGCTGTGTCTTCCTTTACCGCCCTTCCTGCCTGGAGCTAGCCAAGTGACCTGTGAGCCCTAACTTCCCGTTTCCGTAATGTCTCTCCTGGATAGGGTGCCCCCACTCCATGGAGGCAGCACCATGTTTTGAAGAAGCATCCACCTCCTGTGCCCTGGCTTCCCTGCCTGAACCCAAAAGGAAGACAGCCAGGATGCACAGAACCCAGTCCTAGGCAAAGCTATGGGGGGCGCGGGGAATGAGAGGGGATAATCCACTCCTAATCTGGGATGTGGAAGACAGAACCCAAGAGTGCCAAAGGATGTGGCTTTTGAGCTCTGAGGCACAGGGAAATTTAAATAACAGATGTTTAAACAACCTTCCCTGCAAGCCTTGGTGCAGTGACCCCTCTGCTGTGATGTGTTACAGCTTAAAAATAGCCCACAATGAACTGCTCTGAGCTCCAATTGACTCAAGCTTACGTAACTCTGCGTGAAAGATGGCCAGCCGCACCAGCCTGGAGGGAGGGCATCGGCACAGCCACCCTGACTTCTGTCCACAGCTTAGTGCTGGGTGAGCCCCTCACCCTCCCTAGGAGCAGTCCCCGAGCAGGAGCAGCATAGGTGAGGGTGAAAGAAGCGTCACCAGGAGCCTACATGACTTTATGGCTGTGAGAAGGACCTCTAAGCACACCTGCAGCGAGAGTGTGAGGAGCACTGCCCCCCCACCGGGGTCCCTCAGGAATCAAGGAGGGCAGGGGTGAGTAGAATAACAGACAGCTGGGTCAGAGACCAGGGCAGGATCCCCTCTAGACAGGGTGGCTGGGGCTGCCTGCAAGATTCCTTTCCCATTTGAAGAGGGGGCGTCCCAGCTTGGGGGAGACGTCAGCAGACTGGTGCCTGGCTGAAGCTGTCACTACCGTGGAGCCTAAGGGTGGAACTGACTCCTTTGGATCTTCTAAGTCCCAAAGCCCAGGGTGCAACTTTTCCAGGTGGGACTCGTGGTTGAGGGAGAGAGTGTTAACTCCAAAGCTGATTGAATTCCGTCATCTTGGCCACTAGCTGCTTTGAGTCCCTGGCCTTCCCTGATGCATCTCCAGATCCCAAGTGCCCAGTACAAGCCTGGCCACAAGTGTGCAGGAGAATAAACCACTGTGGAAGGGAGCAGAGAAGATGAAGATCCCTTGTCATTGGGAGCCTCTGGTGTTCCTCTGCCCGTGCTGAGCCCTAGGGACTCAGTGACTTCCTCAGCGCCTACCATCTGAGCTCAAAATGGGAACAGGAACTACCATGGGCCTGCCCCTGAGCTGCCATGGAGCAACATTGAGACAGGGGAGGGCCAAGTATGAGGGTCCTCCTGCCACCCGCCCAGCAAAGGGCAGACTATCAGGGCCACTCGTGCTTTTTCCCTTCGCAGGTCAGGAACTGCCAGATGGGTGGAGCAGAAGCTGCAGGGGAATGGATAGCTGTGGAGGAGCAGAAGTCAGTCGTTGGATCCTTATTCTACCAAAACAAGGGAGTGCCTGCCCTTTTTGCCTCCCTTTTCAAGGCAGCTGGACAGTGCCTGCCAGGATTGGTATTGCCATCCTGGGACCAGGGACAGAGGATGCTCAGGGCACTGGAGGAATACCAATGGGGATGGGGAGGCTCAGGACAAACTCTTTCTGAGGATGCCAACGTGAGGTAGCTAGGATACAGATACCACACCTTTGGACTGAGCTGAATCAGGCAGGCTCTGACCTGCTGCCTAGCTTTGGGCCAAGGACTCCCATCAGGGGAGGACTAAGTATAGAGGTCATGCTCCAGGACACCACCCACATACCTGAAGAAACCAGCCCACCCAAGGGACCCCCGTAACCACAGGTAAGGGTGGCAGCTGCTCAGGATCTCCTGGTAGCCATGCTCATTGGATTAAAAACCCTGCCTGGAACAAACCCCAAAAGAGTGGGGGAGAGATTGAAGTTGGCTGGCCCCCCTGTTCAGGATGGGAATAAGTGGGGCTACTTTAGCAAGTCATTCCTGCTCCTCCAAGCTGGGCTGGTTGGACTCTCACTTGTGCACAGCAGAGGCTCTGGGTGACTCAGTTCCTGGGGACTTTACCAAGGGGAGTTCTGGGAGTGCTCCAGCCTAGCATGGAATAAAAGATATTTTTCATCAGGCTCTGGTGGCTAGACACCCAGGGCTGTTACTGATTCCTGAGCCTGCTTCTCCCCAAGCAGAGGCAGTAAGTGCAAGAGATGCAGCCGAGCCTCCCAGCAGCACCCATATCCTCCTGCCCCACCCCATCCTGACACTGGGCCGGCAGGGGGAGGGGGGGAAGGGGTTCTACTCTTTTCTACAGGAGATGGGAGTTAGCTCACGGGATCTGGGGCCTCATGCGATCTGGGCTGCACTGAGGGAGTGATTGTGGAGGCTACTGTCCCAGGAAGATGTCAGGGTTGCGAATGAGGCTAAATCTGGAGCCCTCAAGTGTGGTCCCCAGAGAGCCATGGATCTCTGGGGAAATTCTCTGAAAGGCTGGGCTGAGGCATCAGGGGAATCTCATACCAGATTCATGGTCCCATATCAAAGCAGGCCTGTCTACCCATGCAGTCCCTCTAGGTGCCAGACAACAGTGACACCAATTGGGCAGTCAGGAGGATGTGAGTCATCTGCTGCTTCCTCAGCCCCAGCTCCCATCCTGGCCTCCCTCCAGCCTTTAGTGGACCAGCTTGCCCCCAGCCCCACTGGGCTGCAATGGAGGGAGAAGAGCAGAGGAGCTGGTACCTGCTTTGCTCAGCTCATGGTCCTGAAGCCCTGGGAGGAGCCTCTTTTGACTCCACTCCACCCTAGTGGCAGGCCCACACCTATTATAGCCACCAGCAACTTCCCTTTGCACCCTCCACCCACCATACCTGAGATACTACTCAAGCCTCCTCCAGGGAAAAGGCAGTCCAAACTTCACTCACCCTGGATATCACCTAGAAACATCCTGGACCCCCAGCCCATCTAGGGGCTTGTAACCGACCCCTCCTTTTTACCCTGGCGACTCACTCAGTAGTTTGAAATCCTAAAGCAATTCTATTTCCTGACATGCTAGATGGACTTGTGCCCATCAGTCAGCTCTGAGAACAGAGCTCAGAGTTTGGGAACTAAAACTTGGGGGGTAGAGAGAGTTGTGCCATGATCCCAGACCCCAAGTACTTGTTTCACTGGCCCGCACACCCTGGGGGCGTGGCCCTGGAGGCCCTTGGCCCAGAAACAGGCCTGGATGCACAGGAAACATGAGAGGCCTTGAGTCCTCTTCCATCTCCCTTCTCTGGGATGCCTTTCCTCGCTAAGCCCCACTCCCATACTGAGATCCCTTCCTCGCTGAGCTGCTCTCCTGTGAGCAGATGAGTCAGGGGTCCATGAACTACAGAAACTCATTGAGGAAGGAGCCTCACTCAAGCTTCAAAGAAGCCCACAGGGGGCCTCCCTGGTGGCGCAGGGGTTAAAGTCTCAGTGCTATCAGGCTATTGTCAGCCACTGCGGCATGAGTTCAATCCCCGGCCAGGGAACTAAGCCACATGGCACAGCAGAACTCTCCTGTTTCGCCCGCTGCGAAATCTACTGTATTTCAGTAGATCCGCCTGTTCTGCTCCCCACTCTGGCTCTGATGAATCCTCTCACTACCTCCTCTGGCCTACACCCCATTTCTTGTATACAGAAAAAAATAAATCTTAAAAAAAAAAAAAAAAGCCCACAGGCCTTCTCCTCACTGCCCACCCAGGACTGGAGCTCTGTGTGACCCTTAGATTCCCATCATGAGGTTAGGACACAAAGGCTGCAATTGGAAGGATAGAGATAGTCCTTCCAACAGATATGGGGATCACAGCTATGGGGCTAGTCCAGGACATTCCACCCACCTCTCTCCCAGACTCAGGGGCGAAACAACAGCTTCCTCTACAAAGACAGCAACAAGGGGTGTCTAGCTTACCTTGCATGGCTACAGCCTCATCTGTGCCTACACTGAGTGGGCATCAGTGGTGTAGTGGTAAACAGCCAGTGACAGAGCCCATCTCTGGCCCCTGCCAGCTCACAGGCCCCTGATCTTCAGGCCCATGCACTTAAGCAGTAGAATCTGCTCTTTTAAGTTTTACCCCCTGTCCTCAGGATCCTTAACATCCTCATAGCTATGACTCTCTCTGGTCTGGGGTGACAGAGGGCAGCAGTCTGGGTAGAGAACAGCTGGGCAGCTCCAGTTCGAAGGAGAACCCTATTCTGTTTACCAGGTAAACCTGGTTGCCCCCAACCAGGTAAAAAGCTGGAGAGTCACAGGGAGGGACCCTACTACTCCCCATAGGGTGAGCTAGGCTCTCCCTTCTGACAGGTAGAGGCATGGGGCTCCTGAGCAAGGGAGGGGAGCCACCCTGATACATGTCCTGAGCCCAGTGACCCTGGCACCCCAGTTATCCACATAGGCAGGACCCAGCTTCCCCCTCATCATCCAGGGCACAGAGAAAGGAGAGTGCAAGGAGGAAGCTGTTCTCCCTCCAGTAGCGCCTGTACCTTCATTGGCTATTGTACAGTGGCCTTGACAAGTATAAATAGCCCGGGCAGTTGGCACCTTGAAGCTGATGCCTTGGAAGCTGAGGGCTTGCTGCTGGCTCATCTCTCACTGCTGGCAGGGTTCAGGAGCAGGGGAGCAAGTCTTCATGCCCTGACAGTGTGTGTGGAACACGAAGCCCTGGAGAGGGGCTTCTGAGAAGGGCACAGGTGACTGAGCCATGAGAGACACTATCTAGGCTGCTGGATGCATCTCTTGGTGCTTTCTAAAGGCTCCTGGGGCCCTTTGGTCTGGTTCTGGCCCTGGCTTGGCCTTCCTATTCTCTTTTTGCTGCCCCAACTCCTTTCCAGCCTCAGGGTCTTTGCATGTGCTCACTCTGACAGTCTCTCTTCCCCCAACTCTGCTTCTGGCAAGAATCTCAGCAAAATCTTACCACCTGTCAGGATCTCAGCAAAAATGTCGCCTTCTGGAGAGCTTCCCCTCGCCCCTTTCTTCATTTATGTAAAGCTGCCCTTCATTCCCTCAGAGCAGCCTGTCTTTTTTTTCCCCACAGCATTCACCACAACTTGTAACTGAATAGTCATTTGTTCATTTACTAGTACAAGGGCCAGTGTCTGTGTTTGCCGAGTCCCCTGTGCCCAGCAGGCCAGGAACACAACAGATGCTCCATAAATACTCACTGCATGAAGGGTCACCCTCACGGGCTCTCTCTGTGGAGTGAGGGGCCAATGTGCCCTGCTCTCTTCTTATTGTCCCTGAAGGTTAAGGTTAAGGGCAGGGCAGGGCAGAGGCCAGGTTGTGTCACCTCCTGGCCTAGTATGGCTCAGAAGCAGCTTGTGGGTAGCCTGTGACAGCTTGCAGTTCTGGCCCCTCAGGACCTGACAGGGCTGTGGTCACGTGGGAAAAAGTGGCTCTGAGAGGGGTCGGGGCCGCTCTGTGATTTTACGCAGAGATGGAGATGGTGATTGCTCTTGGGTCACGTTTGCCGCATCTGAGGCCCCAGGCCCCAAGTTCACATAGGTCACGGGCAGCTGCACGTAGTGATCCCCACGCAGTTTGGCCACCACACGGTCCAGTTCCCCTGCTAGCACTGTAAAGGTGGGCCGTGCCGCTGGGTCTTCCACCCAGCAGCGCTGCATCACTCTGTACCTGCGGAGAGAGGAGTGTCAGGGCAGGATGCACCTCCACCAAGATCTCCTGGGTCGCCTACCCCTTGGCAGGTCACATGTGGGCAAAGACAGGTGGCAGGGCCAGTGCCTGGTATCACCCACACAGGGGCAGCTCTCCTCATAGTTGTGACTACTGTTCTAGTCCTGCCTTCCCATCCTGGCAGAGGTGGAATCAGGAGTTAAGAGCCTGGAATCCTGCACCCTATGATCTGCAATTGTGATCTTGGGCAACTTCTCTGTGCCCATGGATCCTCTCCTGATCATGGTACTATTGGGGCATAAAGCAAAAGAATGCGTGTGAAGTGTGTAGCTCAGTGTCCAGTCCACAAGCTATCATGGTTACCTTCACATATCTTCCAGGAAGGAAGCCCAGGTCCAGTGAAATAGGGATTGAAAGTCCTGAGAGGATGGCATGGGGGGCAACACCAGTGGCTCCAGGGCTCCCAAGCAGAATTTCTCTGGATTTGCCTAGTGGGTCCCCCTATCCATCCCTGTGTCTTAGGAATCACATAATTCTCATACTTCCTAAGGGTGGTACTGATATCACCCCAACTGTACAGATGAGGAAACTGAGACCCAGAGAAGAGCAATACCGTAGTCCCAGTACAGTGATGGTATGGTATGCCACACTCCCAGGGACTGCTGATGATTCTCGGCTGACGCCCCCTCTAGAAATTACCCTAGGCAGGAAAGAACCGCCTCCCCCAAGCTCACACTCCCTCCTCAGGAACAGCTGTGACCAGTGACTGATACAAAGTGAGCGTCTGATACAAAGATCTGTTCCCTTGATCTCAATTTTGGAAAACTCTGAAGGGCCATCCCAGCTGCAGCAGTCCCTGTGAGATGGACTGTAGCCTCCCTGGCATCTGCATCACAGCTCAACTTCTCCCCTGCCTGTCCCTGCCTCCCTAGCCCCTAACCTACCAATAACCACCCTGCATATATGTCTCTAGCTCGGATCCTCCTCCAGAGAGCCTGACCAGGAGGCAGATAAGTTGTGAAGTTCATTTCCCTTACTTCAAACCAGATGTATTAGTGAAGTGAATAATAACGATCAACCCCAAGGCAGGCAGGACTGTGAAGAAGGGTTACTCATCTCCTTTTGGAGCACAGCCAGAGGCAGGAATCCTCAACTACCTTTACCTGTGTCCTGGTTCTTCCTGTCCTAACCACAAAGACCTTGACGTAGCTGAGGCCTGCGTGCTACTTATGAAACTGAACCTCGACACTAAACCCACCCCGCAGGCACTGATGACAACACAGCTGCCGCCATGCCTCCAAAAACAGGGAGCCTGAAACTCTATCCAGTGAAAAAGAAATCTGATCTGGAGACATGGAGGGGGCAAGTGTGGGAGCTAATAGAACCTTTCCTTGAGGTTAAGTGAGTGGAAAAGATGGAAAACAGTCCCCCTTGGCGGGGGTGGGGGAAGAGGAGTGCTGGGAAATCAAATCAAATCTGGCCTCAACCCAGAGACTGAGTTGGGAATGCTGTTACCATGGCAACTGCGATATCCTCTCAGCACTTACATCTGAATGGGGGCAGAAGCAGTACACAGATGAGGAAACTGAGGTCCAGAGAGGGTCTCTTTCCAGGTCAACCAGAAGATGAGTCAGTGAACCAGGCAAGAACTCTGTCTCTTGCCCCTTCCTTGTCTCTGGGGCCCATCTCCCTCTCCATCAACACCCACACATACTCACAGAGAATCAGGGCAATACTCAGGCTGAGGTAGGCGCCGACCGCGGACCAAGAATTGTGTGAGGTCAAAATGGTCAATGTGGGGGTATGGTGGGGCACCCCTTGTCAGAAGCTCCCATAGCAACACACCGAACGACCACTGTGGGAGGAGGAAGAAGACTCAATTCTCATACTAAATTTGGGGGCAGGTGAGCACCCCCAGCCCTCCACCCTCCCACTGGAAATGGGGGTGGGGCATACAGTGTGCCATATCACTGGCATCTTCCCTCTCTCTCTTCTTGCCACCTGAGCTGGCCCAGAGTTGGGACTGGGCAGGGCTTGAATTGTCTGTGAGGAGCGAATGAGTTCCCAGCCTCTTTCTCCTCAAGAGATGGGCGAATGGGCTAGGGGGCTGCCCAGCTTGGGGATTTCCTCAGCTCAGATCATCATCCAGAGCTGAATGGACAAGGTTGAGTGTCCAGAACACTGAGGCCATGTGGACTCTGAGATAGGTGGGGTCTTACCACATCAGACTTGGTGGTGAATCTGTAGGTCTGTAGGCTCTCCAGAGCCATCCACTTGACAGGCAGGCGTGTATGGTGGTGCTGCCGAATACTGTAGTACTCCTTGTCCAGGATGTAGCGGGCCAGACCGAAGTCAGCCACCTTGACTGTGAATGACTCATCCAGCCTGGGAGAGGGGAACCATACTCAGGATTGGCCCCCACAAGACCCTGAACCCAGGATAGCCTGGGTCCCTACATGGTTTCAGAGCCATAATGTCCAATCTAAGCCTGCACTGGGCAAAGGGGAAAGCTGAGGCCCAGAGAAGAGAGACTACGCCCAGGGCTTCACAGCAAGGACCAGAGCTTAGATGCTTCCCTGAGGCCCACCCTGGCACCTTGCCCCCTTGCTTCACCCAGCTGCTCTGGTCTCTCACATGCAGTTTCGAGCAGCCAGGTCTCTGTGCACGAACTTCTGCTCTGCCAGGTACTCCATGCCTTGGGCTACCTGCAGGCCAAAGCTGATGAGGTCCTTCACTGTGGGGTTCTGGGGACACAGGTGGGTCAGTGAGCAACGACACAGCAGCTCCCTCCCCAGCTGCTGCCCAAGCCTCTTACCCAGGGCCAGATGAGCACTGACCCGCTGGGGTGAGCGGATGAACCGGAGCAGGTCTCCGTGGCGCATATAGGGCAGCAGCACAAGGGGCAGACCTTCGGGTGGCAGCATGATACCAATGAGGGCCAGCACATTTGGGTGATGCAGACCGCGCATGAGCAGCCCCTCGCGCAGGAAAGCCTCTACCTCCTCCATCTCCGTGATGCCTGTGGAGTGGCTTGAGTCAGGCCCATGGCAGGGAAGCCCTTTACAAGGGCAGAGGGGGAAATGGAGCAGAAAGGCCTCCTGCTTGGGGGCCACTCAGGGAGGCAGTAGCACAGCAGGGACAAGCACCCTTCCAGCCTCTGCCGACTTACGACTCAGTGACTTGATGGCACAGTGGACCTGATTCTGGTCCTCATCTGTGTATTCTCCATGGTAGACAACTCCAAAGTGACCTGGTAAGGGGGAGATGGGGAAACGGGTCCCAGTGCTCAGGGCTTGTGCCACACCCTGTCATTGGTAATCATTCCTCTGAGCACCAACTGGCCAATCAGATACTGAAAACTAGCACCCGTCACATGATGACAGAACTTGCAGCCTCCATGTCTTCTCATCATGCACCAGAACCCACTGAAGGGCCTCCCTGGTGGTAGAGGGGTTGAAATCTCAGCGCTATCAGGCTATTGCCAACTACTGTGGCATGAGTTCGATCCACAGCCAGGGAGAAAAACCACATGCGCAGCAGACCTCTCCTGACTCGCCCACAGCTCCCCTCAACAGCATATTTCAGTAGATCCGCCTGTTCTGCTCCCTGCTCTGTCTCTGGTGAATCCTCTCACCCCCTGCACCTCTGGCCTATAACACCCCAGTTCTTGTATGCATAAATAAATAATATAATTCTTAGAAAAAAAACAAAACACCAAAGGCAGGGCCAATGCCTACTTCACAGATGAACAAATGCAGGCTCAGAAAGGTCACACAGGTTGGTGAGAAGGCCACCCGACAGAGTCTTGCCCAATTGTCCCCTTGAGACCCTGCCACCTTGGGCCTCCATCTCTGACCCCCACCAGGCCAGGCTCCCATACCTTTGCCAATCACTTGGTCACTGTGGGTGATCACTTGCTCATAGGGAATCAGCACATCCTTGACCTCAGCCAGGAGCGCGGAGTCCAGTTCCCCAAGCTGGATGGATTTTGTTCGTAGCAGTGGGACACAGGACCCGGTCCCGCTGTCTGAGAAGGACGTTCTGTGCACCCGAGTGGGGGAATCCACACCAGGGGCTGCTGTGGAGGAGGAGGGGTGAGGGGCTTGTGGGGCAGTGGGTACAGCCCCAGCCCCACCTCCGCTATCTCACCAAGGCCATTTCTGTAGTCAGACCCTGAGGACAGCAGAGCCAGCTGCATGGTTCCAGTGTTCCCACTCTGGGATATCAGTTCATCCAGGTTTAGAGAGCCAACTGTGGAAAGATAGCTAGTGATGGCCAGCCTTTCCAACCCCTTCCCAGCCCATCCCCTACCCTAGGCGATGTGGGCAGATCTCCAAAACCTGGGCAGAGGGGACATAGACTTGCAAATGCCACTGTTTGGGGGTAATGGGGGGGTGGAGAGCTTACCTGGTTGTTTCTTCCGCCTGTAGTTGAAGAACAGCACAGAGGCCAGTACTGCCACAAGCAGGAGAAGGGCCAGCAGGACACCAATGAGGGTCCTTTGAGGGATCCCCTCTAGACCTGGCCGTACCACCCTGCCCAGGATGTGACACTCACCATCCACGCAGACCTGGGGACAAGTGGCAGCTCAGGTCCAGGTTGCAGGCCCTTGACCCATCCCTCCTGTAGAGAACCAGCTGAGCTCCCTACCTGCAGTGGGGTGCCATCCTCGCCAAGTTGCAGGGAGTGGGGCAGAGGGCAGATGACCACGTCCCCGCGAAGCTCATGTTTGCAGATCTCACCACCCACACTCACGTTCATATCCACACAATCAGCCACAGCGCCTAGCCCAATGTACTGCAGAGACAGTCATGAGGGCTGGCCGGTGACCCCTACGCCTTTGGGCTGGTTTCAGCCCTAACCCCCCCGCAATGTTCCTGGCCCCATCCCCTACACTTACCTCAAACTTAATGGTATGTTCCTCAGGCTTCAGTGGAGCCAGGTTTATGCTGGGTGGATGGGGTGGGGGCAGGAAGCGAAAGTGCCGCAGGGTGAAGCGAGCAGCTCCGTCGCCCCAGGCACTCAGGTTCCCTGTCACCCAGTCCTGGGGGGCTCGGACCACAGATTCAGGTAGGCGGCACCAATGCTGCTCCGGGAGCTGCCTCTCACACTGCCAGTGGGGCGGGGGGAGCATATGAGAGTGGTTAGCCAGTTGTCCCATTATGGCCATGCCAGTCTCCTCAGTCCAGCGAGGGGGGGCTGGAATTTAAGGAACCAGTCCGGCCTTCCTCCCTCCTGGCCAGTGCCCACTTACCCTGCTTTCCATGGTCCTAAGCCCATCATGGAATGACAGGACCAGATGCGATGCTGAAGTTAAATGCTGGCCATAGATGGTAACATGGGAGCCACTGTGAAGGAAAGCAGGGTGGTAGCCTTGGGGTGCTCTCAGAGGCTGGCTCCCTCATGCTCTGGAAACCAGCGCGGGCAAGGAAATGGTACTCACGCGTAGCCACAGTTGGGGCTGATACCCAGTATGATGGGGTCTTCCTGGTAGTGGAAGGTCCAGGAGCCAGGCACCTCCACACCTCCCACTTGCAGGCGGATGGGGACCCTGGCCGTAGCGGCCCCGGGGGGTGTGGTACATAAAAGCTGCCCTTCTCTGACCCTGAAGAACAGGGAATTGGGCTTAGGGCTACCTTTCACATGAGGGCCAGGCCCACCTCTTCAGGGGTCTGCCAATCCCTCCCAGTTTCTCCACTGCCAATTTCTCCACTGGTCATCTCCCTCACCTGCTCATGCTCCTTGAGTATATCTGAAGATGGGGAGTAGGGAGGGTGGTCCCGGAAAAGCCTCTAAGGAGGTGGGGAGTGAGCAGGTTCCCCACAACCTTGATTGGAGCCAATGGACTCTGATTGGCTCTCTGATCATCTCCAAACCACTTTCAGGGCTGGAGCGGGCAACAGATCTTTCTTTCTGGACCTGCTCCCTATACTGACAAATGTGACTGAGCCTCCTCCCTCTGCCCTGATAGGGATCCAAGTCCCACTTGAGGGTTCCTCAGGGTGGTCTTCCATCCCCATCCAGCTGGCACTTACTGCTTCAACAGGCATTCAGTCCCATTGACCAGCACAGTCCGATTGGTGCCTGCAGATAAGCCTTGGCCTTCAAGAGTGAGGCAGGTGCCCCCTGCCCGTGGGCCAAAGAGGGGTTGTACTGCTGTCAGCACCGGCTCCTAAGAGGGCATGGAGGGGGCTTAGTTTGGAGTAGAAGGTCCTCCACTCCAAGTCCCTCCCTGCCTGTAATGCCTTCCCTGACCAAGGATACAAACAAAGCAAGGTGACCTCACCAAGAAAGAGAAGCCTTGCAGCATGGAGGTGCCATCCACTCGGAAGTGATTGCCTGGTGGCATGTTGGTTATGGTGAGGCTAACATTGGCAGGCCCAACTGCCTGCAGGCCAGAGGGCTCTAGTTCACACTCCAGCTCTTCTCCAGAGTCCTTCCGGATCACTGACCTGGGGCACCAGGGGAATCTAAGGTCAGCCAGGGGTCACACAGGCCTGGTTGCATCCCAGGTCTCCTCTGAGTTGAGGATATCACCTCTACCCAGGCCTTCCTCTAGGGTAGGCAGGGCGTGATGGGGTTAACCTTGCTAGGTCCATGACTCAACTGACAGATAGGGCATATGCAAGCTTACAAAGGGACAGGTCTCGCCAGGCACGAAACAGTTAGTCATTGCAGCCTACCCCAGGCCTCCTTGCCCTCAATAAGCAGAGGCCAACTTCTCACAGGGCAGGGGCTGCTTGGTTGCCCATGTCAGGGATATGGAGGGCAGGGACCAAGATGTACCTGAGGGTTGTTCTGGGTAGCAGCCGGCAGGGACTTTGGCCCACGGTGACCTGAATGGTGCCCACAGGTGCCTGACCAGCAAGGTGCAGTTGGAAGTTGGAGCCACACAGGGTTAACCTTGTGCTGCCCCTTACAGGTCCACTGTGAGGGTAGAACTGAGGGCAGGAGAGCAGTGAGTCCTCTGTGGGTCAGAGCTCTCAGCTATCTGCTTTCCCCAAAGTTTCATGCCACACCCCTTGCCTGCCTCACACTTCAGTCATTCTAGGACACTTGCTACTCCTCATTCAAGCACTTTTCTGCTTCCATCTCCTCTGCATGTGCCACCTCTTCTGCCACCTCTGCCTCCTATAGACACTGAGGACATCCTAGGCCTTTGGAAGATCACAATTAAGACCTGCTGACCCCCAACCCAGGCCTAACTTGTCCCATCCTTACCTGTGCCCTGCCAGGCAATCCATACCTCAGTAATCTTAGGTGGGCAATGGTCCTGTTGCCAGGAGTCAGGACAGTCCTTCTGCTGGCCACACATGCCTCCACACCAGCCACAACCCATGAAACGCTGTGCCCGCAGGCAACGCCCACAGGTAAGAAAGTGCTGGCAGCCAGGACCCCGGATAGGTACCTTGAATACCTTGGAGTGGCAATAAGATGGTTCAGGGGTGGCCGGAGGAGCAACTAGGCCCCATAGACCCTCTAGTCCCCCAGGGTGATGAGACCTGTGTGTCAATACCCCCTGGATTGGATGGAGAGGTCATGTGCCCATAACCCTGGCCCCAGGCCCTGCCCCTGCCCCTGCCCATCTTACCTGGTCTCCAGAGGCAAAGAGCAGGTGGTCTCCAAGGCGACTGACATCCCGTTGCACAGGGTGCCTATGGCTGCCCAGTGAGAAGTTGGATACATACAGCAAGTAGTTGAGAGACCTGGCCAACTCCACCTGGGATAGGTCAGCTGTGAGTGGAATAGGGATGGGGATCCCAGCACAAGGGACAGTGGAGATGAGGGACTTACCTGTAGGATGCGTCCATCAGTTGTGCCCATGTGGGCTACTGTCACGTTGTCCAGGCGTGTCACATACAGTGCAGTGAGCTGCACTGATCCTAACAGCCCGTCAAACAGGTCCACACGTGAGAAGATGTTGCTGACCAGCAGAGGGAAGTGGTGGCAGCTGGTGTTGGGGCTGGGGGCTACCAGGCCAGGCTGGGGAGGGTCAGGGAAGGAGTCAGAGCTCATCCCCACACACTGACCCCTTGGGGCCTCTGTTAGTGACCACAGCAGCCCAAACTGCACCCCTCACCTGGCCTGTCTAGAGATGGCCTCTGTCCTGCCAATCACCCCTCTCACAGGGCTTTTAGAGGTAACAAGGCCAAGGAAGAAAGCCTAGACTGGAAAGTCGGCTCCCTTACTTCATGCCCTGCTCTGAGATGCCCATTTTGAAAATAAACTTAAAGTCTTATAGAACCAACCCCATTCTGTTATCACAAACACCCTGCAGCATGGGTGTCCTCACCACCCCCACTTTACATGAGAGAGGTTTGATCACTTGTTTAAATCCTTATAGCCCCTGGGGAGAGGACCCAGATTGGAGGGAGGAGTTCCTAATGAGAGTCCTCTCTCGCCCCCTGCTGTCCTGCCCTGCACTTTAGCAAATGCTTTGGGCTTCAGTTTCCCCACCAGAATAAGGGGCTGAACTTTGAAGTTTAATTGGCCGGCCCAGGGTTGGTAATATCCTTGAGACTCCAAAGGTCTCCCTGCTGCTACCTGTACTTCCGTTAGGGCACACAAGAAGTAAACCAAGACCTGACTACTAACTGACCACTGCTCTTAACAAGAGGGTGTTTTGGGGCTGCAGAAACTTCTGGGAAACCAGTAAACCAGGTTTTGCAGGCAAGGTATTGATGCTGAGTACAAAGTGCAGGCAGGGCTCAGTAACCCAAGTTGCTAGGGACCATCTCTTGCCAGTCCTCAAGACTGTAGTCTCCAAGGTCTCCTATCAGATCAACTATGTATAACCCAGTCCTGAGAACTTGGAGCTGATCAGGAGCCCTGGGGGCAAAAGCGTGTTCAGAACTGGGCCCAGAAATGCCATACATTCTCTATCTGTAGCCTAGGCGGGTGGGAACTCTATCCCCATTTAAGACAGATAAGGGGCCTGGCTCTAGCAGGAAGCCAGCCAGGTATATTCTGCATGACTCAGGGACAGGTGGGGCTGTGGGGTAGAAAAAAGGCCCTACCCCAGCCAGGGCCACACCCCTGCCTGCTTGCCCTTGGCTCTCAGGTCTTAGCTCTGGGTTTCCAGGCTTATTTAAAGACCTCTAGCTCTACAGCTCCCTGGACACTTAAGTGTCTAATGTTCCGTGAGGAGGGTGACTTTTCCAGACTAGAACCCAACCTGACCGCATGGAGGACAGGTATCAATTCTGAGCCTTTCAGACTTCCTGAGGTCAGCCACATTGAGCACACAATGGGTGTTTCCCTGGAGGCTGCACTCCCAGTTACTGGATAAACACTGCATGCAAGCTTTTATCCAGTAACTGCTGCACTCCCAGTTACTGGATAAACACTTTCCAGGGGGCCTGCCAGCCCAGGCAAGGTTTGAGATTAGTCCTTCTGGTGTCTGACATTGCCAACTCACCCTGTCTACTGACCTACTGACCACTAGCCAAGTCAAGGAGAGGTTCTGGCTTCCCAGAGGGATGGAGAGAGGGGCAGGCAAGGCAGTCCAGGACCTGACAAGAGGCTCCCACCCCTAAGATCTTCTCAACCCAGATGGAGTCAACTGACGGAGGCAGGCTGAAGATCCCCACCTCCCAGTGTATAGGTTTTCCCATCACTGGGTCATCAATAGGAAATAGAAAGGAGTCAGTGGAGAATGTCACAGCAGTGACACTGAGAGCAGTGACTGTGGGTCAGCTCACTGGAAGGCCACTCATCTAGTGTTGTTCGCCTCACTTCTTTGGTTTAATCTCCTGTAATCTGGGGTGATACTGTTTCAATGACTTGTAGAAATTAGTTTTGGTTTTGTCCTCAGGGAAGCATTTTAAGAAATGCCCTGTTTGTCTCTGCTCTAGTTGCCTGACACCACGGCAGAGTACACCTGGGTAGGGTCCGCTGGAAGGAACCCCCAATTTAGTGTGGGCTAGATGGCCTCCTACCTGAGGTGAGAAGGACTAGGGCAGGACTCCAAATATGGTGAGAGAAAGTCTAGGGCTCCTGCGTGATGATCCAATTTCAATCAGCCCCTCCTAGGCCTTTACTCATCCCCAGATGTTTATAGTTGCTTGCACAAGACTGGGTGAGTCCTCTGGAATTTACTAGAGGCAAGCTGCTTTCCCACCGTATCCTGGATCCTCCCCCAATCATCCCACAGAGAACAACCACAGATAAGCGTGTCAGTGAAACTCAAGTCATGCAGGCTCCCCAATAAGTCTCCCAAACTTCCAAGGCCCAGGAGGCCCTCTCGAACTAGGAGAGGGGGAATTAGGGGGGTCCTCTAGCAACTCCTGCCCCACCCTCCTTGGAAAGCAAAGCAAAACAAATGTTCCATAGGAAAGTGAAACTGTTGGTGAGCAGCTGTGAGTCCATGTGAATCTGTGAACATCAGCCTCTGCATGTGTGTGCATGTGTGCATGGGGGGGGGCGGGCTATGTGTCCCTGAGGATACATGTGGTGGGCAAGCAGGAGAATATGCCCTATCTACTCAAAGTTTGGCAGTATGTCTGGCAGAGAGACAGGTAATCCAGTCCTCACATGAACAGGGAAACTATCTAAAATATCAGCGGCCATGATTAATGAGGGAGAGAAAGAGCAAAATGGGGCAAAAAAGGGGTGAACCTGGCTAGGAGAGAGCCTCCAGTGTGGCCTTTGACTGATTCCCTTAACCACTCCCAGCCGAAAGGAATTAGCTAGAAGAGAACACTTCTGCATGCCTGGCCTCCCCCTCCCAAGCCCTCTCAGTGGTGGCAGCGAAGCAGCCTAGATTCAGCCCTGCACACACACACCACTCACAGGTGAGGGAACCTTTTTTCTGCTCACCGGGTTGGGGCAAAAACTGGGCAACTGGAAGAAGTTGAGGCCTCGGGGGAGACCTTGCGGGACCGGAGGCTCACAACAGCGCTCAACGCCCTGCTCGATGAGGTTGTCCACTTGGTCGACAGGAAAGGCACAGACAACAGACCTGGGACCCACACCCTGGTCGCTGCCTTTGCTAGTCACGAAGACCCCGAATAGCACTTCCTGGCCCTCTCTGATGCTCAGCTCAGCGGCTAGTCGGCTGCCCACAGGAGCCGTGTGGGCAGCCCTCAGCACCGGGTAGGACTGCACGCCCTCAGGAAGCCCGCGCCTGCGGCGTTTGGGCGCAAAACTGCAGTCGAGGACTAGCTCTCGGTAGTGGTCCAGTTCGGTCTCTGCGGCGCTGAGCCGTGCCACACGTGTGTGTAAAACTCCAAGAGCGGGGGACTCGCTGGCTGGCTGCACAGTCAGGAAATAGACGAAGGCTCCGGAGCGGAAAGTGTATACGTATTCGATATGGTAAGAGGAGAGGAACGTGGGCAGCACCGACAGTCCCGCAAAGACTGGTTCAAATCCTGAAGCATCGGCCTTGAGGCGCTTGATGGACACGGAGCGTGGGCTGAAGCTAGAGGCCACCTTCGCATCCAGTGAGGATGCCACGTAGAAGTAGGAGGCATGGCCCTGTTCAACCACAGTCACAACAGTGCCCAGAGGGCTGGCCACACAGTCAGGGCAGTCCTCCGGTCGGTTGTGGTCCACTGAGAAGAGGCAAACTGGAGGTATCAGGCTGAGGGATGTCTGGTCGAACTCCAGCTCATGAAGGAAGCAGCGGCCATGCAGACTCGAGCCGCAGCTGACCAGTGCAGGCAGCGCGGGCTCCAACACCAGCACCTGCACATCTGTGTCACCAGGTGGCCCATTCAGGCCCGGGCCACAGGCTGCGCACGTCTGGCAGGCAGGGTCCCCAGCAGGGCCAGTGACCAGGCTCTCAATCAGTTGTAGGTCAGGCCCAAGCACATACAGGCGGTTGCGTGTGCCCACGAACACGGCCCTCTCTTCCCCGTCGCCATCATAGGCTGCCACGGCCTGAACCGGACCCTCCACTGAGAAGCTGGGCACCTCGTACTTGACATCAAAGTCGCGGGAAGCTGTATGTGGGGTGCGTAGGCACTGCCAGGGCCCGCCCACCACCGGCACCGCCCGTAGCAGCAGAAGCAGCAAAAGGGAGTGCTGCGACGGCGGCAGGAGCAGCCTCATCGAGGTAGAGCTGGGGCCCGGCGAAAATTCCAGCAGGCCGGGTCCTGGTTGAGAGCGCACTTGGGGTCTGGGCTGGGGCCAGCGCGGGTCCTGAGAGCGCGGGGTCAGCTGATCCCCGCCCAAAGCTCTTGGGACGGCGCCCTCCCCTCCCCCCGCCCCCTCCGCTCAGGTCCGCGCACCTGGCACCGGCGGACACACACTGGCAGGGAATGGAATGTCCGCCTCACCTGCCCATCCAGCAGCCGCTCCAAGCCGGCGCATAGCGCAAAGTCAGCCAGCGGGCGCCGGGCGGGACCCGCGCGCCGGGCTTGCGGGCGGAGCCGTGGGCGGGGCGGGGTGGGAAGCCGGGCCCAGCCCAGCCCTCCGCCCCCTTACCCTCCCGGCCCTCGGAAGCCTGGGTCCTACAACTGCTCTTGGGCCTTTTTTCCCTGGTGACCTGCGGTTTGCTGTACGAGGAGTGGTCTAGAGAGAGGTAAACAGGCCTGGGCCGTCTCGTCCTGCCCCCAAAACCAGGGAAGGTGAAGGAGGGCGAGGAGACTTGGGGGGACCGGCTGCCTCGTTTCTTCAGACGCTGGTTCTCCAGCTGGACTCGGTGGGTAACAGAGATGAGGAATGGGAGGGAGGTTAGAGAAGGCGGGGGGGAAATCCCAGAAGGGGGTGGTGCCGGCCCACCTTGTGTAGGCGGGGCCGTCCCGTGGGCTGCCCTGGGTTGTTGGCAATAAAGGAAGTTGCGTTGTACCTTGCCCTCCCAGCCCAGGGAAATAGGGGTTATAATATGGGGCCAATCAGGCTGGAAATTGTAAGAGAGGCAGCTGATGTGAAGGTCCCATTTTAGCGCTGGTCCCCCCACCGCTGCCTCAGTATGTGGAAGCTGTGGGGGTAGAGGATAAAAGCCACTGTGCTGGCCTTCCTTTCTGGCCCCACTCCAGTGTCCCCTTGATATAAGGGAAGCATAGAGTTGCTCTGTAAGCCTGCCAGGCCTCAGTCTCTGAAATGAGAGTGTAGTTCTAAGTAATTGCCCAGAACTCCCTTCATGCTATGTTGGGCTGGGGGCAGCAACTAGGACTGCTCTTGCCATCTTTCACCGGAACCTCAGTGACTGCCATTTGGCAACTGATCCCCAAGGGGCCTGTGAACTGGGGAGCTCCAGGACTTTGGTGGGTGAGGGGATGGGGTAAAGGAACCCTCAGTGTGGCCCTGCGAGCTATAACTCCTCTGTTTTCCCACCCAACACATACTCCTTATCCTACCAGAAACACCCTTTTCCCTAACTCCTTTTGCAGCTTAGATGGAGGAGTCCAGGAAGCCTTCCTGTTCTACCTGGAATCAGGTTTCATTTCCTGATCCTGTAGACCCTGTGCTACACCTACTGTAGCACAGTTTGCTTTGGATACCTGATTCCTCACACCCCAATCCATAGTTATGAACATCCCTGCCTCTCCAGCCTGGATTCAGTGAGCACTTCCTGACAAAGAGGAAAAATGGCTACACCCTGTGCTGGTTGGACACCTTGCCTGAGGCAACATAAAAGGCACTCCCTTCTCTAAACTGAATTGCCCCGGAAATGAATAAACACCCACTGAAAATGTGGCAAGGTTCCTGTGTTCTAGTCAACATGTCTGCACAGAGGGCAAAATTGAAAGGAAACATTCTTTGCCTTGCCTCTACACATGGGTTCTTGAGACTATCCTGCCTCAGGGCATTTGGAGACATCTAGGGTTGGGAGAAGACTTCAGAAGCTCCTTAATCACTAGTCCACCCATTTTTGGAGGTAGCAGTCAACAGTTGGTTCTCTGCTGCTACCATGTGGCCAAGTTGATGGCTGCTCCCAGGTCTGGGTACCCTGCAGGCAGCCTGGTCCTTAACAGCAACTGTCCAAAGCAGTGCTCCTCCTTCCCTTGCCATCAGCTACCTCTGCAGGGGGGAGATAGGCAAGCTTTGTGGGAGGAAGTCAGCCTTTGCCCACTGCTCCAGAAAATCAGTGCCAGCCTTTCTTCAACCCAAAGTGATCATCTTAATAGCAGCAATGAGATCTCTCTAACTATAATGTGATTACATCACTCTGCAGCTTTAAAACATTCAATGACCCGGGCCTCCCCTGGTGGCGCAGTGGTTGAGCACTGGGCTGCGAGGCTGCCCGCAGCCTCTGTAGCGCAGGTTTGTTCCCCGGCCAGCGGCGAGGGCCCCACAAAAAAAAAAAAAAAAAAAAAAATCAATGACCCTATGCCAGATTTTTACCAGTGCCATTGTAAACTAGTCATACCAAGTTCTTTACCAGGTCTTTCTCTTTGCATATGTAGGTTCCTCCACCAGGAACACTACTTTTCCACTCCCAATCTCCAAATAAACAAATCCCACACTGATATGTCCCTACTGTCCCTAGGTATACATACTCATTTAATTGTGATCACCTTCCCGCCCCACCCAGAATTGGTGCTGAAACTGCAGAGAAGCTGAGAGCCCTACAGCAATCAGGGCAGCCAAGAGGGACACCTAAGGGTTAACCACTCACCAGAGTCAGGGACAGCTGGCCTGGCCTCACCCTAATCCCAGGGGCAATGATCTGGTGCCCTGAAGAAGAGCAGGGGGAAGAACAGAAACAGAAAACATGCAGAAAAGAGTCGTAGGGCATGTGCAGTGTGAGCAGCACCCAACTTGTTGCTCCCTAGGGGTTTGGGAGTCTGGACATGTAGCCGCTGACATGTTCATTCTAATGTGACCCAGGTTGGGGCCAAGGACAGCGACAGTAAATAGAATAATTTCAGTGTACCCTTGGCCCATGCCACCTTCACAGACACATTATCCAATATGGGTTGGTTTTAGTAGCAAACCATATCCTGGCTCAGATCAAAAACTGCACAAAGGTGATTCACTTTACAGTCTGAAGATCATATTTAGCGGACAGTTATCTCCCATAAATACTTCCTGAGTCTTTCACTTTCCCTCGCTTATGAGATGGTTGAGTTACAGCAGAAGTGGGAGAGCCCCCCCAGCAGCAAGGTAGAGGCTTTTTGCACTGTGCCTTGGGCTCTGTCATGGTATGATTGGGGCTAAGTCTTCACTGCCAGGCCTTCTGGGATATCCACGGTAACTGGTGTAGACTAGGCCATACCAGGGAACAGGGTGATTGAGGAGGGCCCAGCGTACCTAGTGGAATCAGCCCTTCTTGGAGCAGCACTAACGCTCTTGGGTTCAGCTGGATCTTCTCTCTGGCCCTCAAGCTCACTTTTGGGGTTCATTCCTAGCATTGCACTGGGTACAGGGTGGGGAACTGAAGTGACAGCCCTTCATAGGAAAGCTTAAGCAGGGACATTTTCCCCAGCTACAGAGGAGGGGTTCTGAATTTGTTTTGAACTTCACCAAAGGCTCCCCGCCACACCAGAGATAAAACTTGACTTTCTCCACTTGACCTTCCCTATCTCACTTGGCTTGGCCCCTGATGAACTACTACTGCAGGATAGCTATGTGGTCCTTCATGGCATACAACTGGGGGCTCCAACTAGGAGGGAAAAAGGGGGTACCAGGGGCTCACACTGAGTATAGAGGTGGGGCTGTGGGAGGGAAAAAGCTAGTGGGGTGCTAGAGAACTCTTTACATGTGGTAGAAAACAGCCCCGGCCCAAGCTCTGAGCACATGTGCTGAGATGCTGTGTGAAGGAGGGAGGAGAGGGGTTTATATATATATATATGTGTCCCAGTGCATGGGGAAGCATGGGCTGGAGGTTCTGTGCCTGCATAAGAGTATGTGCATGTGAGCAAGAGTGGGTAAGTGAAGGAACCTGTAATAAGACCCAACAAGTGTCTATCTGAAGTACTTTAATGTACCCACCAACCCACAGTCCCTGCCTGCTGCCTGGGCAGGAGAGGCCAGCCCCACCCGATGGCTCCCATGGCTTCCATGGCCCAGTGAGCCTAGGAGGACTGAACCCACGCATTCTCATCAGTACGTGAGAGGTGTAAGGATGAAAAGGCGGTCTTCTTCTTTGCGGATCCAGCGCATCAACTTATGGATGGCACTGACAGCAGATGCCTTGGTCCCCAGGGGGCTGTAGCACATGTAGAGTTCAAAAGCACCTGTCACCTGAAGGAGGGGGCACAGGGTGGTCATCCAGGTTAGACATCTCCTCATGTCTCCTGTCCAGGACCCCAGTGAAGCCCAGCCCATCCCAGGGCCATCTTACCCAGGCCAGGAGATTTTCGTTGGGGCCCGTGTAGTAGATGGTCTTGAGGGGGCGGGAGGCATTGTGGGCACGACTGTGCAGGTACTGATAGAGACCCAGCAACCGCTCCTGTTCCTCTTCACTGGTGTAGGGGGCCTCAATCTCAGGGCTGGAAATGGAGAAGCGGGTTCACAAACGAATGGCTTTCTTTGCCTTGTCTGGAGATCTAGAAACATCCATCTCTAGCTAGGGTGACTTCACCATGTGTCCTACCCTCCAAAAGCTTTCTCAGGACAGGGCATTGTCTCCCCACCGCAGATAACTCCTCAGGTCAGGGCTGGGCCCACCTAGCTAGAACCCTGTGCTCCTTCCCTCTTCCAAGTTCATGACATCTTTGGTGACCCTCCCTTAGATAGGCCAGTCCAAGTCAGAGACAGGTCTAAAGTAGAGGAAAGATGACCTGGGAACCATCTGGGCCCAAAAGGGGCAAACAGAGGATAGAAGTTGCCACATCTGGCCCCAGCCTCTCTGTTGGGGAAGAAGTGAGAGAGTTCTGCATGCTGGGCTGGACCAAAATGACCCCAGTGCTCCAGGGCAAGGGAGCACTTCAGATACTGGGTATTTCAGAACTTTGGTTAATGAAGTAGAGAGGCCTATGCCAGTGGGGAACAGGGAGTCTGAGACCCTGGGTCACAGTAAAAGGAACCCATCATGAGTACACCCAGAGAGGACTACATCAGGTCAAACTAGCCCTCTTCCTCACAGCCCCGTCTTCCTCAAGCAGCGTCCCCAAAGCCCTCCCTCACCTGGTGAAGAGTCCTGAGCTCTTTGACTTATAGAGGAAGTGGCGCAGGTCAGGGATGCCCACTTGGGCAACACTGTAGTAGGGCGTGCGCAGTGCGTCCCGCAGCGCCAGGTGAGCTCCGCGCTTCCGCAGGCGCTCCTGAAAGCGGCGGCGGCAGTCAGAGACTGCAAAGAAGTCCTCGCGGTCGGTGGAGACCAGCAGCAGGCAGAGATCAGTGTCGGGCTCCAGGTAAGAAATGTGTGCGTGGAAGAAGCCGGCCGCGTTGAATTTGGGCAGGCACACGGGCGTCCAGGCCTCGCCCTCGCGGAAGGACGAGGAAGAACTTATGAGGTTGAAGAGCAGGTGCAGGTCAATGGGGTGCAGAAATTGGTCCTTGCGGCGCACGAGCGCCACGAGCTGGTTGCGAGCCAGCAGGATGGAGAAGACCAGGCTGCGCGCTCTCGCCTGCTGCAGGCAGGTACTCACTGCGTCACGCACGGTCGCCGCCAGAGGCAGGCAGCGTGCTGCCCCCATCAGGAAGCTGGGGTCTCGCGCCATGAGCTGCAGCAGGTTGTCGGTGATGCGCTCCGAGCCCGAGAGCAGGCGCCGCAGATCGTAGTTTTGCTTCTGCTGGAAGATGTGGCTCAGCTGCGCGCCAGTGAGAAGGCTCAAGATTTGGTAGTAGATATAAAGCAGCTCCTGTGCCAGTTCCTGCGCTGACTGCCGCGTCCGGGCCACTGCCACCAGCACCAGGGGACTCCGGCGCACGAATACTACCTTGTAACCATCTAGGGGTGGGGGCAGGGAGCGTCAGTTTCAGTCCCTCTCCCCAAACGCTGCCTCCTTGGCCTCACCCAGTTCCCTCAGAGCCCTGCCTTCCTGCACAGCTTCTGGCCTTCCACATCCTCTCCACCCTCCCTGAAAGCTCTGCAGAAGGTCGAGGCTTATAGATGATGAGGATAAAAACAGCAGCCCACCATCCCTTCAAATGAGGGCTCTGGATCTGTTTTTGCTATGTGCCTCACAGACTGGCACTAGCTGAAATGCAGGAAGCACTTCAGAAAAACTCACATGCTAGATGGCGAGAACAATGTGAGGCTAAGGATCTAGGATTTTTTTGTGGCTTCCCCAGGGATTTCACCTCTCCAGGGACAAAACCCATATCAGAGTCACCTCTGGTACTCACAACATGGGGACCTTGAGGCCCAGTGAGGTGGAGGTACTGCCCTGGGTCACACAGCACATCCCAGCCCCTCTAGTCAACAGGAGTCGGAACTTTCTATGCATTAACCCTGGCCAGGGGGCCCTCTGCCTCCCCCTCCCCAGGTGGCTCACCTGCGTGGATGGAGCGAATGGCGTTCTTGTCTGCTTCTAGGAAGGACACCAGGGCCACCATGACACCCATGGTGCTGGAAAGTGCCTCTTCCGACCCATAGCGGGAGTACACAGGCTTCCCCGCCTCGCTCAGCACAAAGACATGCTTCTGGTGCAGTCGCCATGCCTCAGCAGCCTCCTCCTCATCTCCCTCGCCTGACCCATCCCTGGAGGGCTCTGTGACTGGTCGCCCAGCTGCCCCTGCAGGCTCTGGCCAGTCCTCAGAGCTTCCTGGCAGCATCTCTTCCTGCAGGTCTCGAGCCACACCTGTCAGCTGGGTGCTCAGCTCGCTGAAGTCCTGGCTGATCTGACGCATGTCTGCAGGCAGTGGTGAGGGAACCCCAGCACCCTCCTTGGGGCTGTCCCCAGAAGCTGCCCCATCCTCCGATTCAGTCAGGTCCTCATAGGAACGGGCATGAACAAACATGGCACCCTCCTGCCCGGCACCTGCCAGCCAAAAGTACTGGTGCTTAGAGTGGTAGCCACTGGCAGACCACCTCACCAGCAAGGTGCCAAACATGGTATTACCTAGATTGCCAATTCAGATGAGGCAAGCCAGCGTCCCCCTCCTGCTGCTCTCTGCTCTGGTCATGCCTCTGCAACTTACAGTTCACCTGTCTCCTCCCGTCACACTGGTATGGGAGCCGCTGGTATGAGCCTGCCTCTCAGACCCTTCTCCCTTGCCCATCCTGATCACACTGGCCTTTGTCCCTCTGCTCTTTGTACACATTCAACATGCTCACCTACCTTCCTCCTTACCTACCAACTCCTTACCTACCTCAGGGCCTCTCTACCTGCTGTTCCCTCTGTCCAGAAGGTACTGTCACTTCTTCACTTGTCTGACTCCATGTCACATTTCAGCTCTTGGCAAAGAGCTTCAGCCTGAGCTCCCACCCCGGCACCCTATCATATCTCCATCCTTATCTCTCTTGTGGCACTGGTCGGGTATTGTCCTCCCCTGCTATATGGCATCCCCTCCCCACAAAGGACAGGTACCTGTTTATTCACTGCTACGTGCCATCAGCTTGCCCTGTGCCTGGAATATTGCCCATATTTGGGAATAGTACCTATATTTGGTGAATCTCTTTCCCTAGGAAAAGGCTCCTGGGCTCTGCTCAGGCCACAGCTCCTAACCCGATTCACTGTAATGGTCCTACTAGCCTGTGGCTTCCTTAAGGCCAGGGCCATGCCAGTCTTCCTTTACTGATTTTTTGTCTTTGACAAATAGTTAAATAGAACAGATATATTTTGAATCTCCATTACAAGTTCTGTGTTGTACCATGTGCTGGGACTCTAACTGCTCTGTGCTCAAGGAGCTCACCATCTTGTGGAAGAGAGATGGGCAATACATGCATAAACAAATAAAATGAAAAAATAACTGGTGTACGAAACAGGGCATAATTAGAGCAGGCCCAGCTTGTGAGGAGGTGACATTTAAGCTGAGAGCTGAGAGAGAGAGGAGTCAGGGAGGTCCACTGTAGACACAGGGAATAGGACAAGCGACCCAAGCTGGCACCCAGCCAGCACAGGGCAAGTGAAACGACAAAGAGGAAGGTCAGATACAGACTGAGCCTGGCTCCCAACAGTCTCCCCAGTCCCTGACACATAACCCACGAGTGACTGAACAAATACATGATGGAGTGGGAGAAAGAGTGGGTGGGAATCCAGATTGCCCTGGTGGCTGCTTTCGCTGTCAGCTGCCTGGGGTTGCACCCCTTGCCCATACCTGGCTCCTTTCCCTGGGTCAGTCCTGGTGTGGGGCTCTCAGCTCTTTCCACATTCTGCCCATCGGTAGGCGCCAATGTGCCATCAGGGCATTCGCTGCTGCTCTTTCTCTTTGTGTCAGTAGCCATCCCTTAGGCTCTCCTGTGGGGGCAAACAAAGGCATCACCATTGAAGGGTAAGAGAAGATGCTGTTGCAGGGATCCCTGGCATGAACAGTGGTGAGTACACGAAAATGTTCTTCACTAAAACCTATCTAACTCAAACCTCTATGGAATGAGTTTTGAATATTCCCCTCTAAAAAATTAAGAACAGGGGGCCTCCCTGGTGGTGCCAGGGGTTAAGACGCAACCTATGAAGCTGTCGGCAGCCACTGCTGCACGAGTTCAATCCCCAGCCAGGGAGCTACACACATGGCGCAACAGACCTCTCCTGCCTTGCCCGCTGCTCCCCTCAGCAGTGTATTTCGGTTGGTTAGCCTGTTCTGCTCCCCATTCTGTCTCTGGTGAATCCTCTCACCTTTCCCTCCACCTCTGGCCTGCGCCCCAGTTCTTGTGTACATAAATAAATGAATCTTTAAAAAAATATAAAATAAAATAAAAAAATTAAGAATGGGGGGATGGGGTGGCAACATATCTGACAAAGTGTCAAGATGCTGTTGTGTCAACCTAGTCCCCTAAATTAAATATAGTGTTGTAAACCAATGTTACCTTGATAAAGGGGAAAAAAACAAATAATCAGGTATGTTGGTATTTTTTCTAATTTTATGAGAAAGAATTCTTTGTGTTCATCTATTGTAGGGAAAGTAGAAAAAAAAATAGAAAGAAAGAAAGAACTCATCATTTACCTACCATTCAGGATCATTCACTATTTGTACTTCAGTCTTGCTAGCACTTATTAAGTATTTATCAATGTGGATTAAGTTGAGGTTTCTGTAGATTAAGTTATCTAATCCTAATCACTCTTCCATGAGGCAGACGGTCCTATCAGGCTACACTATGTGTGAAGGAAATGAAACTCAAGTCACTTTAGGAAGGAAGCATAGGAGCTCGGAATTGAAACAATCTTGCTTTCACTGCACATCCTCTGGTAACATTTCTCCCTTCAAAACTGAGTTGACCAATAGTTCTTTGGGATATTTAGGTATTGGCAAAGGATGAAGTGAGTCAGAATCAAATAGGCTTGTCTTTAGCCTGGAGCCTTGTTTTCCTTTGAGTACACTTTGTACCTTTTACATTTGTTAACCATGGTTTACCTTGCCAATTAAAAACAACTATAGACAAAACAGGTTTCAGTGCCTATTTGATGACCAGGACAGACCTAGCCTGATCTTTTAGTCCTTTAAACTCAGGGCCAGGTGGAGGTGGCCACAGTGAATGTCAGGAGTAACAAAGTTGGATGATTTATGGGGTCAATCTGTAGGGCCCCCAAAGGCAGGCTAAAGGCCCTTCATTTGTCAGGCAACAAATAGTCGACAGTGGAAGGTTCCATTTGAAGTACTGACCCTTTAGGAAAAGAGAGATCTGGCTTCGATAGGCTAAAAGAGCAGCAAAGACTAGTCAGAGATTCACGAGGACACTGAAGGCCAGCCAGGGGGCGGGAAGGGATTGGTATTAATGTGAGCAAAGCAGATCCTGCACTCCTGGCAGAGCAGGCTCCATAGGGAATAAACAAGGCCTTGCTCTGTAACCTTGAGCAAATGGCTTTACCCTGAGCCTGTTATGAAGTAGGTGCTCCCAAAAGACCATAGAAAGAATGCTTTCAAACAGACAGCATTACATCACTAGCATCTGTAGTGTCTCATACTACCTGCCTCACCCCACCCTCCAGTTCCTATCAGGCAGTTCCTAAGCTGATTTTCAAGTTCTTCTTTTCATAAGTCATGGAATGCTTTCTTTAAATTAATCTTTTGCAGGAAGACAATGTGCCAAACAGACAAGGAGGCAGGCCAGGCCTGATGGCTACTCCTGTACTGAGCCTAGAGAACCACAGAACAAGTGGGTCTTAAGCACTAACGGCCAACAGCATCACCCCACCAGAGTAGGACCAAAGGAAGATTATTGGGAGAACATCTACCTTTTGGGGTTTTCTAGGCCATCAAGCCCATCTGCCCATCCATCCATCCATCCATCCATCCATCCATCCATCCAGTGAGGGTCAGAGCCCAGAAGACCAAGAAGTGGGCCATCCAAGAGGCTTCATCCCTTAACAGTAACCTGAGGAGGCATCCAGAAAGTTCTCCTAAGCCTGAGATTAAGGCCAGTTTGGCAATCCAAAATGGGCAAAAATAGCATTACCATGCCATTGAGCACAGGGCAGTGGAAGCTAAAGAAAGGAGGGCATGTCTGGGACTTGAGCAAGAAGACATAGGCTACATGAGAACTTTATAGACCACTATTGTACAAGCTAACCTAAAAGCCAAGGTGGGTCTGAATTGCTGCATAAAGAGGGAGTGACCGCTGAGACTGAGGAGAGACTCAATCTGTTCATGTCCAAAAACAGGCAAGCTGCTACTGATAGTCCCAGGGCTTGTGGACCTGGTTCTCTGCATGGATACCTGGATTGGTACGTGCCTTTACTGGGGAGAGAGTTCAGAGTCATTGCTTTAAATGGGAATGCCCTATATTTCTTTGTCTACTTACTTTCCCACGCCCTTAGTCATTCCTTCACACCCTTTCTCATCATCTCCTCCTCCTAGTCTCACTCTCTGCACTATCAGCGATAACACTGCCTTCCATTCCACTGTGCACAGAGAGGTCAGAAGAGAACTTAGAAGGTTCCCACCACAGCCTTGCCTTACCTGACAGACACTACCTTCCTTCACCTTACTAAAGATGAGTGGTCCATGCTTCTCCACCCAAGCCCTCTGCCTACTCAAGCAAATGGCTTCACCAGCTGTTTCTCCCTCTCCCAGGTCATCAGTTTCCCTTTTTCCCCTATCCATGACCAATATGTTGATCCTTCATCTGCTAAACACCTTCCTTGAGTGTGTTCACTCTGCTAAGTTGTTGAGCTCTACTTATTATTTGTGAACTCTGTCTTATTTCTATTAAAAAGTTAAAACAAATTTCCTCTTAACTTATTCCCTTCTAGCTATCACCCCATTTTTCTTTGCCCTTTACAAAACAAAACAAATAAACCTCAAAATTGTAAATAATACCTGGGAGTTTAATTAGTCAGGTAAACTAAACTGTGTAATAAAAGAATGCCAAAATCACACAGGTTTTACACATAAAGGCCTTTTTTTTCCCCTTCACACAAAACCTTATGAATCCAGGACACTAGCATCTTCTACCTCTGCCATTTGGAACACATGGCCTTCCATATTACCTGGCAGTGGGAGACAAGGCTGGAGAGTCACGTACTAGCTCTTAAATATTTCAAAGCCCAGACTGACCAGAAGTAGTTATGTGGCTAGAGGGGCCAAGAAATGGAGGTGCCAAGGTAGCATGCTAAGAGGTGGTGGGGAACTCAAGGATATCTGGTAATCAAGAAGTGTCTTTGGGGCCTTCCCCATGGTGCAGAGGGTTAAGTCTCACACTATGAAGCTATTTGCAGCCACTGCAGCACTAGTTGATCCTGGCCAGGGAGCTACCCACATGGCACAGCAGACCTTTCCTGTCTCGCCCACTGCTCCCCCTCAGCAGTAGATCCACTTGTTCTGCTCCCCACTCTGTCTCTGGTGAATCCTCTCACCCCCTGCACCTCTGGCCTACACCCCCATTCTTGTATGCATAAATAAATAAATCTTTTTAAAAAAATCTTTCAAAAAAAAAAGTGTCTTTGCCACAACCTGTCCGCTCTTCTCTCTTGAACTCATTCCAGTTAGACTTCCACCTCCATCACTCCAGCAAGATTGCTCCCATCAGGCCAACTCAGGATCATCTCACTGTATTTAGCAGCAGCAGCGATGGATATACTTGATTATTTCCACTCTCTCAAAGCACTTTTTCCTTTTGTACACCACTCTCCTTTCCCATTCCTTCCCCCACCTCATGGGCCATTCTTTCTAAGTCCTCTTATAGCTGAGGCACCCAGATTTCAGTCCTTGGATCTTATCTCTGTTTTCATTCAATCTCATTCAGTCTCATGTTTTAAATTCTCACTGATACATTAATAATTCCAATTTTTATTTCCAGCTTCATTCTCTCTTCTGATTTCTAAGGCCATGTACATTTAGCTGCTACTGGATGTTTGCCCTTGAAAGTCTTACAGTATCTATCTCAAGGTTATAGTACAAATTGAGTTCTAATTATCCCCCTTAATAAGTTGTTCCTTGCAGAGTTTTCTTTATCTCAGTGAAATAATTTCATGCTTTTAGTTATTTAGTGAAAAATCTCAGACCTCCCTGGTGGCCTAGGGGTTAAGGCTCAGTACAACTTTCCTAGGACAGATTGTTGATGTTAAGTGGGAAATGCCATATCCAGATTCTCACCACTTCTCATCACCTTCACCACTACACATTGATCCAAGCCACCATTATATTGCTCTAGGAGATCATTGCAAGTCTTCTTGTTGGGGAAAAGGATGACCTGAATGAACCCCACAAACATAGGTTTTATGGAATCCACCCCTACCCCAGACCAAAGAGATCCAAGATAACAAGGACTACAAATCCCATAATGTCATCACCACCGAAGGGAGGATCATTAGGAACTGAGGATGGAGTTAAGCAGCCAGGATTGGTATGTAACCAGAGATGTGGGCCTTTGGGGTTCTTGTTTTTTTTCACCAGCTTTCAGCGTGCTATTGGGATCCCAGCTCCATGGAACTGGTAGGATGCATTCACCAATTTATCTCACTCTCTTTCTCCCTGTGTTTTTTCTGTCATCATTCCCCCCCCCCTTTTTTTTTTTTTGCAAATAAACCTTTATTAACCTTTTTGTGTGTGCCTGTAATTGAGTCTCATTATAAGTCCCTTTCCAGCATGAGGGTGAGGACCCACAGTCAGGCAGCCCATTTCACATTGGGGTTGCCCTGTAACATTCTAACGAGTCTCCCCACTTCTGCCCTTGTCCCTGCACAGTTTATACATCTCCCAGTACTGAAACACAATTCACGTCACATAGAACCTCCACTCATAATTCTGTCTTAGTCCATCTCATTCAGTGAGGAAGTCAATCTCCTCACTGTGATGCACTAGGCCTCACTCTATTTACCACCTCCCCATTTCTTTGACCTCATTGCCTACACTTTTCCCCCCATGCTTGTCCCACTTTGCTTCAGTTCTGCCATTCTGAACCTATAATTTTTCTTAAGTATAATGAAAATGTAAATTCTTAGTATTCCTTCACTTCAGAGTTTTGCCTTGCTGAACTTTCTCCCTGGTCCACACCTCCCTGCTTTTCCTCTGTCTCTCCCCTCACCTATCCCACTGCCTGGGCTAGATATATACATGACTCAGCTTCCTTCAGGTCGCTGCTCAAGTGTTACCTTATCAGAGAGGCCTTTCTGCACAATCCCTAATCCTTATTCCCCTGGCCCTGCTTTATTTTCCTACATTGAAGGTCACTGTGACCTGTGACAAATTTCAGAATGCCAGCTCCACACAGGAGGAGTTTAACCACTATTTGCCAGATAAATAAGTTTTGGAAAGGAAGATGAAAGATCCTCACTGCCATGTGGTCTCTGGAGACCCTTGTCTGGGGGTGGGGGGGAAGATTTGTCCTTGGTGGTAGTCAAGTGTTTAGAAATAATCTCTCTGGAGTCAGAGAGGCCTGGATTAGGTTGGCATGTTTTTTGTAAGTCTCAGCTTTCTCATCTATAAAATGGGGATATTAATAGCACAATTCATTGGGCTGTAGAAGTGCAAAGTGAGATAATCCATGTAATTTGGTTATCTTGGGGCATAGTAGGTTCTTGTGTTGTAGAGCAACCCCGATACAAAACGGGGTGCCTGACTGTGGGTCCTCACCCGCGCGCTTAAAAGGACTTATTAATGTTCTACTGCAGGCACACGCGAAAGGTTAATAAAAGGTTTATTTACAAGGGAAGGGGAAATGAGGAAATGTACAGCTCAGGGAGAAAAGTGGAAGACAAAGTTTTAAATGAGTCCTACCGATCCGCCGATCAGGAATCCCAAATGGCGCTCTGAGAGCTGGCCGCCAGCCAGGAGTGGTGAAGCCAGGAGGCGAGCGATAGCGAGCCCCCCAAGGCCCACGTGTTTGGTTTTTATATCCAACCTGGCTGCCCAACTCCACCCTCAGGTCCCAGTCACCCTCCCTTTGGTGGTGATGGGATTTGTCTTTCCCAATGTCTTGATGGCTTTAGTCTGGAGTGGGGGGTGGGGTCCACAAAGTCTGTATGGGATTAACTCAGGACATCATTTCCCCCTAACACTTGTACATTCATCTGCTTATTTAGCATCCAGACTGTGTATAGTGTTAACATGGAACCAGTGGCCTCTGCCATGTAGCTTGCTCACCCTGAACCAGGCCCTGAGTGAACTGGCCTGTACTTCTGATCTCATGAAGCCAGGTGGGTCTAGCCTAAAGTGACTCACTTGTGATGTAGGCCAAAGAGCTGTCCATTGGTCTAAGGCTGGGAGTTTCTCCAGGCTAATTGGCTATTCACTGGCCCTGGGTTGCAGGAACAGACTAACAGTTCTCTGATGTTCCTGGAATCTCTCCCAAGTTGAACAACTTGGTCTGCCACATGCCCTTGCTCTGTGGTCTTGTAACTGACTCAAAGACCCAGACAAAGTCTACAGCAGTTTACCCAATGTCCTGTGGGTCAACTACCCACTGATCCTCTATAGCTTCCCAAGCCACTTGTAGCTTCAGTTGACTGAACCCAGAGTGGTACCCAACTTGGTACCCACATGGAATAGAAGCAGGGTCAGCTGGCTGGAGCTAATCTCCACCATATTTCTCCCGTCACTTGAAATCATGCATCATATTATCACCTCCAAGGCCGATGTGGGGACCCAGCCAGAAGCCTTGATGAAGCAAACAGTTCTCTGGATATTTATTTTGGAAACTAAGTAGGGAGGGTGAGTGACTTACAACAAAACTAACCCAAATCCACACTGGAACTGTAACCTGTGTAGCTGAAGCTTCTGGGAGGCTGAACTTAAAGTAGTTAAGCAAGAGAGGTCTCTTGCAATCAATCCCAGTTGTTCCCATGGATTCCTGTGCTTTCCAGGCAGCCTCTCTAGAAGCCCTTAAGGCTTACCACTTTCCTTAGAAGAGCCCTCTTGTGCCTATGAGCAATGACACCAAACAGGTTGACTCAATCAGCCCTTACAGTGAGTGTGCAATCATGGGGGGTGGTTTGGGAGAAGGGGAGTGGTTGAGCCTTGCAGGAGCCCCCTCCCTACTAGCTGGCTAACACTCTTCTCCCTCTTCCTGCTTAAATAGTTCTCCATCCTGCCTTGACCCTTCAGGGAATGGTGTATCTGGGAGAGTGGGCCCAAGAAGTATGCATGTGTAGCAGAGAGAGCCAGGGGAGGCTGTGCTGTAGCTGCTTCGGCTAGAGCCTACTCCATGCTGTCTAGGTACTAGTCATTGCTGGTGCCACTCCCCTTTCTGACAAAGGCTGCTCACCCTCCCCCAGGAAACCTGATCCCAGAAAGGGTGGCTCACCCAGTACAAGGGGCAGCCCGGTTATCCAATCAGGGCACCGTAGAGAGCAAACTCCCAAGCCCCGAGACACTTCCAGGATCTTCCAGCTCACCCCACAATCAACTCTGCCATCTTTGAAAAGACTTGAAATCTGGGTGTGTATTGGGGGCGGGCCTTTCCTGGCCTCTGCCCCCTACTGGACTTCGCCCTCCCAGTAAAAGGATGGGTTCCAGGAATTGCCTTGTATTCTCCAGCTGGGGGCCAACCAGCTAAAGGACCCCAAAGAGTCTACTTCAAATGATGGCAGGGTCCCCCAGTCTTCAGGCCCCTCCCTCCAAGGATGACAGCTCTCCTGTCTCTCGGCACCCCCAGGCCACGTGGGTTAGCAGACGGACTCACCTATTTCTTTGGGGGACCCTGGACGCACAGAGATTGCCGGTCACTGCCCTCTGTCGGACCC